TTCTAGATTATGTTAACGTGTGAGAGTTTGCTGTTTGCTAAAACTATAACCGTGTTTGAGAAGTACGTTATTCGAAGTTCGTATCACGGCAAACTCGAAGCCTCTTTTTCTCTATTCTTCTCTACCCAGCATGGAAAGGAAATAAGTCCCGTCAGATTTTTTATTTTCTCTCATTTAAAAGAAAACCAGCAGTTCTTGCATCATTGTTTGAAGACAAAATTTTCTATTGTGGGAATTAGACACGGCTCTTGCCCAACAAAAAGGTACAATTTGAAAACTTTTTATAACCAATAAGTTTTATTTTATATATTACTTTAATGTTGCATAATAATAGTAATAATTATTAGATGATACTTCATTAAACAGATTTCATCATTTACATAAGCTCTTTGAGATCACATCGTATAAATTTCGTAAAAATTTGAAATAGGTTCAAATATTGCAGTTGAGGGCTTTATTCATAGTTTTATTAAATAAAACACAGCATTCTAATCTCGCTGGCCTCATAATTTCAAATATTTCCCAATTGCCTTAAAAATTTTTTAAATTATTAAATTTCCATATTATTCAACACAAAAAAAGGTTTATTAATCATTGTTCTATTCTTTGAAATCATTGTAATTCTTTATTACTGAGTTATTTCTGTAGATTTAATTCTATAAAAATGTATCAAATCCATGAAAATGCCCATTCTTTTCTAAAATTTTTAAAAAGTATATATGAAATGCTGATGCGAAAGCATCCCTCAGTCAATTTCTTCCGCACGATTTTAGAGTAAAAATTATTAGAAACCAATAAACAGTTTAAATTTTTATACTGCCAACAGTTTATTACAGTTTGAAGAAAATACATTTTAAAGATACGTTTCTACACTAGATATTCATAATCTTTAGTTCTTTATGTTTTTATTTTAAGAACTAAAATCGAAGATGATATTATCTGTTTTATAAATCTAAGTTTTGGCATCTAAAATATATATTGAATTTCAGGTTCTTGGACAGAAATGCCCCATTTTATTTTCAAAATTTCTAAAATTGTCATAGATTTTTTTCCCTAGTAAAAGAACAATTGATTTTTGTTCATAAAATAATCTATCAAACATTCTTTACTTACTTTTGTATCATCTTCGAAAGAAATCTTCAAAAATGTTCGAAACATGTTCTTTTACCAACATAAAACACACCGCTGATTTTCTAAGCCAGATATTCCCAATCTGTGGTACGCGTACCCCAGGGGGTACGAGAAGGATCAGTTAGGGGTACGCGAAAACAATATTGGTAATGGCAGAAACAAGAAAACTTGAGGGATTAATATGAAATAAATGTTATAAAATTTCTTTCCTCGAGTTCGTGTGAAAAGTAAAAAGTGAAAGGTTTGTAAATTCGAAAGCCTGCTTTTCAAATAAGAACCACCGGGAGTGGTCTCCCCTAAACTTTCTCGTATACATACCAAAAAGGTTTCATTCCTCTTCCCCCCCCCCCACCCCCCGCGCGAATAAAAATTGCGAACCTTCTCTAACCCAGATTGTCACGACTATCCCAAAGTTTCTTTTGGCGCGCGCGTAAGTCGAAAGGAGGGTATTAGTAGTAGCGCGATTTCGAAGGTCACAAATAGCGTCAATACGCAATTTGGCCTTGTTAGATAAAGAAAATCTAATATGCAATTTGAATGCCTTTTTTTTTAACCGATTGAAATGAAAATTGGACACAATCTACCACTAAGGTTAGAAGATCACAAACCAAATTTCATTTATCTAAGTAGCTGTATTTAGGAATTATGACGTTCAGAAGTATGCGATTATACAGACAGACAGTCAACCCTTTGACGGATTTGGCCCAAAATTTTATAGGGACCTACATTCCTGATGATAAAACTGTGTACCAAATTTTATTCATCTAGCTATTCAAGTTTTTGGGTTATAGTGTTCACATGAACGCGGACAGACAGGCTTCTCATAGACGGATTTTGTCCAAAATTTTATAGAAACCTACAAATTATGTTTAAAGACCACATACCAAATTTCATCCTCGTAGCTCTAATAGTTTTCGAGTTATTGTGTTCACAGATACACAGACAGAGATAATTCTAAAATTGTGTTTTTCGGACTCAAGGAGGTCTAAAACGTGTAGATTCGTCAGAATCTCGAGTTCGAATTTTTCGACGATTACAATATTTTCTTTGTATACTTCGTAACGAGAAAGTAAAAAGGAAAGGTAGCAGATTGAGACTTGATAATTGATTGATATTTGGGTTTCAGAAGATTGGGCCAAGTGCTGTCGTGTTTTTACGGATGGTGGAAAATGTATGCATGTCGATTATAAAGGTTTATGCGCCCGTATCAAAGTCTCTCCTCATGTACCTTGGAGACATTGCTGTACCTATAGGCAAAGTTTAGCGGCCAAACCCTTAATAGGTTCATTTCTCTTATCAATCTATCAATATCGTAAATTTCTTTAAGGCTAATTCAACTTATACCCTATTATTCAAATATATGTGGTAAAACATGGGCAGCCTGCATACTAGATTACTTTTGCACACCAAAGTGAGGCGGCTTTCACGAAAACTTTTCTCACAAGATGGTCTGAACTGAGATACGAAGTTCAAATTTTTTTTGGATACCACCCTTTTAGAATGAGCTTTAAATTTTATGAAAGCGAATGGTTGCAGCCGCTTGCATACTTATCTGACACTTAATTTAAAACTGCAGAACAATTTCATAACCATCTTTAAGTTGACTGGCAAAATCGACTTCCTATGATTAAGAAACTGGACTTTGGGGAATCTTGTATCAAAACAAGGCCAGTAGGAAATTTTCGAGATACTTTACATTTTTTATCTGACAGCGAATTTAAATTATGAAAGGAATTACAACTAGTACAATAGCACATTTAAAAGGAATAAAGTTGTCGCTTAAGGCGCGTTTACACCGAGCATTGTAAACATTTGTTTTCATCTTTTGTGTTTAAATCATATGATGACAACTTTTTGTTGTAAACAGAATACTAATGGTTCTTGCAACTTTTTTTGTCATCACGCATGCATGAACTCGCGTCTCACTTCATTCGTCAAAATGTCCAGCGTGAAGAATGTTGTGCTTGCAGCAGCAACTTGCGTACAAAAAATACAAATCACTTTTTAAAATTTATACAATATGTAATTGAAACGGTTATATTAGAGGTTAACGTTGCCTTCAAAGTAGTGGTCCTAAAATAAAACGCTATCAGCGCTGATATTCGACAACTTTCTTGATGAGAGATTCGATCGTTAAAAGTTCTCCACCAAATTTTAATCTGTTTCTCAATTGAAAAATTTAAATTTAAATAAAAAAACTAAAAATTAAAACAATAGTGAATAGTTAAGAAATGTTTAAAATAGTACGGTGTCTTGTTTATACTGTCCATAAAAAATATCTTTCTCTGCTTAACTAAAAGTACTTCAACTAAGCAACTTGTAAATATTAATGAAATGATGAAAAGTACATTTCAAAAATATTTTAGAATATTATTATCAACTTAAGTATTTTTGAGGAAGGAAGTGAGGTCAATATTATTAGCCACACTAAAATACGTTTATTTCATTCATTAAATTATACACATCAAATCAAAGAAAAAATTATTAGGTATAAAGTAA